TTCTGCGGCTATTTCCTGAGGAAGTAAAATGTCAGAGATGTTAAAACTCACGGCTGATGTGTTGTCCATGTCGGTGTGCTGTCCACTCTTCAGTGAAGTGGCGTCAACATACGCCTTCACATGGTAGCGGGTGCAGCTGGCCAATGGCAGACCCTGCCTTGTGTAATCAATAACTGACCAACGATAGGCTAGAGTAATGTGACCACGGAAGTCCCGATAGATTTAAACATTTCTTAGCAACCATAAAGATAATTTATTTTAGTCATACCTCTTTGCAATACCGCAAAATTGAAGGTGCATGAATGGAATATTTAGCAATATACAACTTGTAATCGTGTGTCTCGTTTTAAACTAAAAGAAATTAGTTTTAAATCCAATATATTCATTCAGCCAGCTCGAAGGAAATCAGTTAATCAATATCCATCGATTAATATGACCTTTGATCCCGACTCAAATCGTGGTACGGCCGATTTTTGTTCATGTGGTTTGGAAATGATATCTGATCAGAATATTAACAATAAGAGATATAGGGAGTGAAAGAACTAACTCACCAGTCATCCAATCAAACTTACAGAAGAACTGCTGAGTTCTTCCATAACGCATACTCAAGATGATATCATCGGAATCGTTCTATGGTCTCTGTTTGTAGCAGATATGATTACGGCAAAGGTTTTGTGAGTTAAGTTAGAGCGTGAATGCAAATTTGTATAAATGAAGGAGGGGCATATGTTTGGGGTTGCATTACAAAGGGCTCACAAATAAGAAAGATATTTGGTTGCCTTAATATTCGTTATCCTGGTTTTATAAAAATAATATGTTTACTCATGTTCCAACTTCATTTAGGCAGGTGAGTAGGATGGAATCTTAGAGGGAAACATTCAGTCGATTGATTACCTTCACGCTCTGGAGACAATAGCTATTTGGTATGGTAGTGTTTGTGTCGGGCATGGTGATGTCGGGGTGTGGTGGTGTCGGGTATGGTGGTGTCGGGTGTGGTGGTGTCGGGTGTGGTGGTGTTTGTGTCGGGTATGGTGGTGTCGGGTATGGTGGTGTCGGGTGTGGTGGTGTCGGGTGTGGTGGTGTCGGGTGTGGTGGTGTTTGTGTCGGGTATGGCGGTGTTGGGTGTGGTGGCGTCGGATATGTTGGTTTCGGGTGTGGTGCTGTTTGTGTCGGGTGTGGTGCTGTTTGGTATGGTGGTGTCGGGTGTGGTGATGTCGGGTGTGATGGTGTCGGGTGTGGTGGTGTCGGGTATGGTGGTGTTTGGTATGGTAATGTTTGTGTCGGGTGTGGTGTTGTCTGGTGTGGTGGTGTCGGGTGTGGTGCTGTTTGTGTCGGGTATGGTGGTGTTGGGTGAGGGGGTGTTTGTGTCGGATATGGTGGTGTCGGATACGGTGGTGTTTGTGTCGAGTATGGCGGTGTCTGGTGTGGTAGTGTTTGTGTCTGGTATGGTGGTGTCGGGATGTGGTGGTTTCTGGTATGGTAGTGTCGGGGTGTGGTGGTGTTTGTGTTGGGTATGGTGGTGTCGGGTGTGGTGTGGTGGTGTTTGTGTCGGGTATTGTGTTGTCGGGTATGGTAGTGTCAGGGTGTGGTAGTGTTTGTGTTGGGTAGAGTGGTGTCGGGTGTGGTGGTGTTTGTGTCGGGTATGGTGGTGTCGGGTATGGTGGTGTTGGGTATGGTGGTGTCGGGTATGGTGGTGTTTATAACGGGTATGTTGGTGTCGGGTGTGGTGGTGTTGGGTATGGCGGTGTCGGGTGTAATATGTCATGTATGGTGGTGTGGGGGTGTGGTGGTGTTTGTGTCGGGTATGGTGGTGTCGGGTATGGTGGTGTTGGTGTTGTGGTGTTTGTGTCGGGTATGGTGGTGTTGGTGTGGTGGTGTTTATGTCGGGTATGGTGGTGTCGGGTATGGTGGTGTTGGTGTGGTGGTGTTTGTGTCGGGTATGTTGTCGTCGGGTATGGTGGTGTTGGCGTGGTGGTGTTTGTGTCGGGTATGGTGGTGTCGGGTATGGTGGGGTTGGGTGTGATGGTGTCGGGCGTGGTGGTGTTGGGTTGTGGAGGTGTCGGGTGTGCTGGTATCAGGATGTGGTGGTGGGGTCGGGTATGGCGGTGTCGGGTGTGGTGTGTCGGGTATGGTGGGGTCGGGGTGTGGTAGTGTTGGGTGTGATGGTGTGGGGTGTGGTGGGGTGGGATGTGGTGGTGTCGGGTATTGTGGTGTTGGGTGTGGTGGTGTTGGCCGGTTGGTGTCAGGTATGGTGTTGGGTGTGGTGGTGTCGGGTGTGGTGGTGTTTGTGTGTTGTGGTGTTGGGTTGGGGTGTTGTTGGGGTTTGGTGTTGTTGGGGTTTGGTGGTGTTGGGGTTTGGTGGTGTTGGGGTTTGGTGGTGTTTGGTTTGGTGGTGTTGGTATGTGGTGGTGTTGGGTTGTGGAGGTGTCGGGTGTGCTGGTATCAGGATGTTGTGGTGGGGTCGGGTATGGCGGTGTCGGGTGTCGTGTGTCGGGTATGGTGTGTCCTGTATGGTGGTGTCGGGTATGGTGGGGTTGGGTGTGATGGTGTCGGGCGTGGTGGTGTTGGGTTGTGGAGGTGTCGGGTGTGCTTGTATCAGGATGTGGTGGTGGGGTCGGTTATGGCGGTGTCGGGTGTGGTGTGTCGGGTATGGTGGTGTCGGGGTGTGGTAGTGTTGGGTGTGATGGTGTGGGGTGTGGTGGGGTGGGATGTGGTGGTGTCGGGTATTGTGGTGTTGGGTGTGGTGGTGTTGGCCGGTTGGTGTCAGGTATGGTGTTTGGCGTGGTGGTGTCGGGTGTGGTGGTGTTTGTGTGTTGTGGTGTTGGGGTGGGGTGTTGTTGGGGTTTGGTGGTGTTTGGTTTGGTGGTGTTGGTATGTGGTGGTGTTGTGGTGTAGTGTAGGTGTTGGTGTGTGGTGATGTTGTCGTGTGATGGCGTTGTGTGGTGGTGTGTGGTGTTTTAGGGTGTGGTTATGTTGACGTTTTTTGGTGTCGGAGTGTGATGGTGTAGGGTCTGATGCTGTGGGATGGTATTGTCTGTTTGTGGTGTTCTTTGAATGCGGTGGTTCTGGAGTGTGATGATGTCGGGTGTGGTGGTGTTGAGGTGTTGTGTCGGGTGTGGTGGTGCGATTGTGTTTGGGTGTGGTGGTGTCTGTATGTGGTGGTTTTGGAGTGTAGTGGTATTGTGGTGTGTTTTTGGAGTGTTTTGGTGTCGGGTGTGGTGGTTTTGGATTGTGATCGTCTAGCGTGTGGTGGTGATGAGGTGTGGTTGTGTGGTGGTGGTGGTGTGGTGGTGTCGGGTGTGGTGGTTTTGGAGTGTGGTGGTGTTGAGGTGTGGTGGTGTGGTGGTGGTGTGGTGGTGTCGGGTGTGGTGGTTTTTGAGTGTGGTGGTGTTGAGGTGTGGTGGTAGTGTGGTGGTGGTGTGGTAGTGTCGGGTGTGGTGGTGCGATTGTGTTTGAGTGTGGTGGTGTCTGCATGTTGTGGTTTTGGAGTGTAGTGGTGTTGTGGTGTGTTTTTGGAGTGTTTTGGTGTCGGGTGTGGTGGTTTTGGATTGTGATCGTCTAGCGTGTGGTGGTGATGAGGTGTGGTTGTGTGGTGGTGGTGGTGTGGTGGTGTCGGGTGTGGAGGTTTTGGAGTGTGGAGGTGTGGAGGTGTGGAGGTGTGGTGGTGTGGTGGTGTGGTGGTGGAGTGGTGGTGTCGGGTGTGGTGGTTTTTTAGTGTGGTGGTGTTGAGGTGTGGTGGTGGTGTGGTGGTGGTGTGGTGGTGTCGGGTGTTGTGGTTTTGGAGTGTGGTGGTGTTGAGGTGTGGTGGATGTCAGATGTGCTTGTGGTTTTGTGATGGGGCAGTTTTTGGTTTGAGTGGTTGAGTGGTATATGAATGTGGTTTGTTTTAGGGGTGTCATGGTGTTGTATGTTATATGCTGTTGTGGTGTTTGGGTGAGATAATGACGATGTGTCATGGAGATGATGATGGTGTTGGGTGTTGTGGTGTGATGGTGTTGTGGTGTAATGGTGTTGTGGTGTGATCGTGACGAGGTGTCGTGGATATGGGATGCCGGGGTGTTGTGGTGTTCGAGTGTGATGAAGTTGGTGTGTGGTTGTGTTGGGATGTGGTGGTGTTTGGGTGCCGTGGGGATGGGGTGTGGTGGTTTTAGGGTCGTGGTATGGTGTTTGGGTGCCGTGGGGATGGGGTGGGATGGTTTAGGGGTGTGGTGGTGTTTGGGTGCTTTTGTCTCCAGGTAATGTGATGTTAAGGTGCAGTTGTATCGGGGTGTGGTGGTGTTTGGGTGCCGTGGGGATGGGATGTGGTGTTTTTAGGGGTGTGGTGGTGTTTGGGTGCATCGGGGATGGGATGTGATGGTTTAGGGGTGTGGTGGTGTTTGGGTGCCGTGTTGATGGGTTGTGATGGTTTAGGGGTGTGGTGGTGTTGGGGTGCCGTGGGGATGGGATGTGATGGTTTAGGGGTGTGGTGGTGTTTGGGTGCCGTTGGGATGGGGTGTGACGGTTTAGGGTTGTGGTGGTGTTTGGGTGCCGTGGGGATGGGATGTGATGGTTTAGGGGTGTGGTGGTGTTTGGGTGCCGTGGGGATGGGATGTGGTGGTTTTAGGGGTGTGGTGGGGTTTTGGTGCTGTGGGGATGGGATGTGGTTGTGTTTTAGTGCCGTGGGGATGGGGTGTGATGGTTTAGGGGTGTGGTGGTGTTTTAGTGCCGTGGGGATGGGATGTGATGGTTTAGGGTTGTGGTGTGATGGTGTTGTGGTGTAATGGTGTTGTGGTGTGATCGTGACGAGGTGTCGTGGATATGGGATGCCGGGGTGTTGTGGTGTTCGAGTGTGATGAAGTTGGTGTGTGGTTGTGTTGGGATGTGGTGGTGTTTGGGTGCCGTGGGGATGGGGTGTGGTGGTTTTAGGGTCGTGGTATGGTGTTTGGGTGCCGTGGGGATGGGGTGGGATGGTTTAGGGGTGTGGTGGTGTTTGGGTGCTTTTGTCTCCAGGTAATGTGATGTTAAGGTGCAGTTGTATCGGGGTGTGGTGGTGTTTGGGTGCCGTGGGGATGGGATGTGGTGTTTTTAGGGGTGTGGTGGTGTTTGGGTGCATCGGGGATGGGATGTGATGGTTTAGGGGTGTGGTGGTGTTTGGGTGCCGTGTTGATGGGTTGTGATGGTTTAGGGGTGTGGTGGTGTTGGGGTGCCGTGGGGATGGGATGTGATGGTTTAGGGGTGTGGTGGTGTTTGGGTGCCGTGTTGATGGGTTGTGATGGTTTAGGGGTGTGGTGGTGTTGGGGTGCCGTGGGGATGGGATGTGATGGTTTAGGGGTGTGGTGGTGTTTGGGTGCCGTTGGGATGGGGTGTGACGGTTTAGGGTTGTGGTGGTGTTTGGGTGCCGTGGGGATGGGATGTGATGGTTTAGGGGTGTGGTGGTGTTTGGGTGCCGTGGGGATGGGATGTGGTGGTTTTAGGGGTGTGGTGGGGTTTTGGTGCTGTGGGGATGGGATGTGGTTGTGTTTTAGTGCCGTGGGGATGGGGTGTGATGGTTTAGGGGTGTGGTGCCGTTTTAGTGCCGTGGGGATGGGATGTGATGGTTTAGGGGTGTGGTAGTGTTTGGGTGCTGTGGGGATGGGATGTGGTGGTGTTTTAGTGCCGTGGGGATGGGGTGTGATGGTTTAGGAGTGTGGTGGTGTTGGGGTGCCGTGGGGATGGGGTGTGATGGTTTAGGGGTGTGACGGTGTTGGGGTTCATCTGTATCAAGGTGTGGTTGTTTTTGTGATGTTGTTTCAGTATGTTTGTTAGCATCAAATGTTAAAAGATATACCTGCTTACTAGTTACTTTAAACCAAGAGAAGCTATCTATGAAGACAATCAACTTGGATGTGCTAATTAGTCTTCTCCCTGTACATGCTATACGGGAAATTATCTTGAATGATAGGGTCAGATACGGTAAGTACATGCTAATTAGATACGGGAGATATGTAGCAGGTGGTAGGTCTAATACACATAAATTACGAGTAGAAACAGGAAGATAAGGAGCAGTTATGGTTGGCGACACCACTAATTAGAAGAATTCAGATCGTCTTACTTTATAATTTGTATTGATTCTGTGTGACCTTTAAGTTTTGACGTCAACAATAACAGTGAGCGGTGTTGATAATAAGTCAGTTAGGCATGTTTACCAAGTCCTTTCAAGTTCATTTGAATAGAATATGTTTAAACTACAAATCAGGTTTGCTGTTCGGGGATTCACGGGTGCATGGACACGTGTTAGTTCATAAAAATGGCTGTCCCGAAACCAGATTTTTATTTTAAACTGATGAGCCTTTTTTCTCTCTCTAAAACATACATTGCAAGAATGTAATTTATATATACCCAAGCTTGAACATCTAGATTTGCACAAGACTGTGAAAGTGTCATGTAAGTCTGCATGTAGGGCTGCAAATAATCCTTGCCATCAAAGTTTTGTTTGTTTGTTTGTTGTATAACGCCGCACTTAGCAATATTACATCTATATGACGGCGGTCTGTAAATAATAGAGATACGAAGACATGTATGAACCAAGTCAGCGAGTCCTTACCACCCGATCCCGTTAGTCGCCTTTTACGATAAGCATAGTCGCCCTTTACGGCAAGCATGGGTTGCTGAAGACCTATTCTACCCCGGAACTTCACGAGTCTTTGCTATATATGAGAGATGATATTGCATGGAACTGTGTGAAGGTTACATAGCATGAAAAATACTATAGACTGTAGAATTCAAAAAGTACATTTCATCCATAACCATTTACCGTTTAGTTAATTCTAACATGGAGTTCTTATTAACTTATAAATAATGGATAAATGTATTTTTAATGTGTTTAAAATAGTGATAGTGAAGGTGTATGGATGATAAATGTCTGGATACTTTATTTCGTTCGTGTAAATCAGTATCTGGTGTGTCTGCCATGTTGAGCGATACGTGCATAACACCTCGATGGCATACTGTTGACAAAGTGACGTATTACTAGCTTTATTTCCTGACGGTGCTTTAAACCAAATTCAACAAAAATAAATTTAATCTGAAATTAAATAATGCCCTTTTCAATACATATTCATAAAGACATCTCGACTTTAAGGTCGTGGTTCACGTGCTTGTTAATGCGCCCCCCACAAATAGGAGTTTGCGTGGTTGTTGGGAGTAGTATACTTTTTTTTAATGTAAACAGCACACAATGTTTGTTTAGCTATCAGGTGATCATAAAAGCACTTTTGTTTAACCGTATATAACGCTAACGCAATGTCACGGCTTGCTAAAAATCATGTTCATCGAAACACAATATTATCTCTTTGGAGTCGTGATCTACAGCAGGGTCGTCTACGCGTGACTTCAAGTCAACAAGACAACCATATTCGGTTGGTGCATCTTCGGAATCGATGCCAAACTACCACATAAACAGCTAGGACTATTCCTGGTTTGAGAGCAATTAGTGACAGAAACATACGCAACCGGTTGAGGGAGCACAACATCCGGTCCCAATGTCCGGGATACGCCCAATTTTGCTTCCACCTCACCGTCAGTGTGGTGTAGACAGCATCAGAGGATCAGTAGGCAAGACTAGGACCGTATATATTCTTCACAGATGAACCAGATTTCATATGGACAGCTCTGATGGTCATGAATGGGTCTTCAGGCGCCCAGGAGAACGTTTAAGCGACGCTTGCGTTAGTCAACGTCGTCAGTATAGGGTTGAATTACAACTCTTGGGAAAACGCAACTCATCATTGTTAATGGCAACTTGAATTGCGTACGATGACGGAACGACATCGTTCGAGTTCCAAGCTCTGCCCTTGCAGGGACGCAGCGTCACCGTGCAGCAGGATAATTCCCGCCCACATGTTGCACGCGTTGTAGCAGAGTTTTGGAGGCAGCATAACAGTGTTGTGCTGCCATGGCCGGCTGTTTCTCAATATACCTCTACCAAATAGGGCATGTCTGCGATGAGATGGAGCGACACCTACACCAGCACTAGAAGCAGCCGGTAACGCTAGCTCAGTTGGGCTGATTTTTGGTTGACATTTGCCACTATATTCGCCCATGTACTTGTTTCTTCAATCTAGGGGACGGCCGGGTAGCCTAGTGGTTAGAGCGTTCGCTCGTCACGCCGAAGACCCGGGTTCGATTCCTGACATGGGTACAATGTGTGAAGCCCATTTCTTGTGCGCCCCCCCCCCCCCCCCCCCCCCGACATTGCTTGAATATTGCTAAAAGTGGCGTAAAACCATACTCACTCCCTCACTCACTTCTTCAATCTAGCCACACTATCATGGTTTTATTTTCAATAGCACAAGATTTACACCACTTTGTAAGAGACACAATTACTTTTTCCCGCTTGTATATCTTTAAATATGACCGTTCTAGTATACACATTTTGCATAGTTTTATAGTCATTGTGTCTCGTAATACGTCTGGATGTGCAGGCTATATATGCATGAAAGCATATCCTGATTTTACTTTATACACTCTTCAAAAAAAGAAACGCACAGATAGTATGTAATTAATTGAACCTGACTCCACAAAAATCCGGTATATAAATTGGATATACGTCATTGGAAAATGTTGGTGGTCACAACGCAGCCATTGTCGATTTGCAATGTCTTAAACGGTATTATTTTCACATTTGTTAAAAAAATGTCATGGAGGTAAACAGTGAAGCAAAATGCACGTGCAAGTTATGGCATTCGTAACTCGTGGTAGTGGCTATAAAAAGGCAAGCATAAGCCAATAATTTTGTCATTCATTTTTCAAGTTCGAAAATGCTGAGACTCGGCGCTGTCGATCGGAACATCGCCATAGGACGTAACCAAAGAGGGGAATCGCAGTCTTCTGTTGCACGCCACTTCAACGTCCACCACAACACCATTTGCAGCCTTTGGGACTGATACACACAGTTCAATTCCACTGCAGACCGTCCGAGAACCGGCCAACCAAGAGTTACTACCCTTGCACAGGATCGCTACATTCGACTGTTCCACCAACGTCATCGCAATGCCACAGCTACGGAGACTGCAGGGCTAATACACATAAATTACGTGTAGAAACAGGAAGATAAGGAGCAGTTATGGTTGGCGACACCGCTAATTAGAAGAATTCAGATCGTCTTACTTTATAATTTGTATTGATTCTGTGTGACCTTTAAGTTTTGACGTCAACAATAACAGTGTGCGGTATTTATAATAAGTCAGTTAGACATGTTTACCAAGTCCTTTCAAGTTCATTTGAATAGAATATGTTTAAACTACAAATCAGGTTTGCCGTTCGGGGATTCACGGGTGCATGGACACGTGTTAGTTCATAAAAATGGCTGTCTGGAAACCAGATTTTTAATTTCAACTGGTGAGCCTTTTTTTCTCTCTAAAACATTCATTGCAACAATGTAATTTATATATACACAAGCTTGAACATCTAGATTGGCACAAAACAGTGAAAGTGTCATGTAAGTCTGCATGTAGGGCTGCAAATTATCCTTGCCATCAAAGTTTTGTTTGTTTCTTTGTTGTATAACGCCGCACTTAGCAATATTCCATCTATATGACGGCGGTCTGTGAATAATAGAGTCTGGACCAGACAATCCAGTGATTGACATCACGATCCACGCCATAGAGATACGACGACATGTATGAACCAAGTCAGCGAGTCTGACCACCCGATCCCGTTAGTCGCCTTTTACGATAAGCATAGTCGCCCTTTACGGCAAGCATGGGTTGCTGAAGACCTATTCTACCCCGGATCTTCACGGGTCTTTGCTATATATGAGAGGTGATATTGGCTGGAACTGTGTGAAGGTTACATAGCATGATAAATGCTGTAGACTGTAGAATTCAAAATGTACATTTCATCCATAACCATTTACCGTTTAGTTAATTCTAACATGGAGTTCTTATTAACTTATAAATAATGGACTACGTTTTCATCTTGTAAAAGAACCTTCAGGATTAATATGGATTTTTAAATTTGAGTTTTTCCGATAAACTAATTTTAATTATGAATTAAGATTCATTGCAAGCAACTCAAGCTAAATGTATTTTTAATGTGTTTAAAATAGTGATAGTGAAGGTGTATGGATGATAAATGTCTGAAAACTTAATTCCGTTCGTGTAAATCAGTATCTGGTGTGTCTGCCATGTTGAGCGATACATGCATAACACCTCGATGGCATACTGTTGACAAAGTGACGTTTTACTAGCCTTATTTCCTGACGGTGCTTTATACAAAATTCAACCAAAATAAATTTAATCTGAAATTAAAAAATGCCCTTTTCAATACATATTCATAAAGACATCTCGACTTTAAGGTCGTGGTTCATGTGCTTGTTAATGCGCCCCCCACAAATTAGATGTTTGCGTGTTTGTTGGGAGCAGTTTACTCATGCACGTGTTTTTTTAATGTAAACAGCTCACAATGTTTGTTTAGCTATCAGGTGATCATAAAAGCACTTTTGTTTAACCGTATATAACGCTAACGCAATGTCACGGCTTGATAAAAATCATGTTCATCGAAACACAATATTATCTCTTTGGAGACGTGATCTACAGCAGGGTCGTCTACGCATGACTTCAAGTCAACAAGACAACCATATGT